TAAAATAATATAGTAATAATTATAATAAATGTAAAATAATAGTTAATAAAGAAAATAATAAAGATTGAAATAAAAAACGTTATTTAACGTTAAATGCTATAAAAAAACGATACAATAAATGTTTATTAAATGACCATTTTTATAGTGTAAAACGAATATTTTGTACTTTTAACATTATTAAATGCCATTCTAGAATGCTATAAAAAATTCATACCGTTATGACTAACGATATACGAATGCCGATATACAACATTATTAATACGAAACATTCATTATACATTATAAAACGGCGATATATAACGTTATATAAATGCCATTCATAAAACGTAATATGAATGGAGCGTTTGTATAGCATTATAGAACATTATGTTCTAGTACGTTGGTGTCATTCTAGAATGTTATTCGAACGTTCCGTTTGTATAATGTTGTAGAACGTTATATAAAAATTCCTGATGATAATTGTTTCTCCAATATTTGCTTTAATAAAATAATATTTGTTATATAATATACAAAAATCTTCTTTAACACTATATCATTTTTTTTCTATTATAAAATTCAAACCTATTTGATATATTTTTATGAACTAAAATAGTTTTATTTCACTCTGTGCTAGATGATATAAAGCATCGAATTTCTAATTCTTCTATTTCTAGGTTATCTGTCAACATACTTGACTTGCTTGATTAATTATTGGTAGATTTTCATTAAATGAAATGAGATTACTCTTTGGTAATACTTGATTTTGTTCTGGTATAGTATTTTCTACTTGAGATTCATTTTGAATTGGAACAGAGACTGTAACTAGATTTTGAATTTGAGTTTAATTTTGTAATATGCACAAAGCTAATAAACATTGTCCCTTAAAAAGATTTCTATTTAAATTCATATACTTGTTTAAATTTCAAGTTTTACTGGTTCTTATTTTTCAATTACAACTTGAACATTTAAGTATTTTAGCCATACACAGGTCAAATACAAAAGATATACATACTTAAAAGAAATTCTGATTTTAGTTGATTTATAATATAGGATGTAATAAGATGGTCAATTGTTATTGATTTTTAGCTGATCTATAGTATAGAAATTACCATTTAGTACAGTGATTCTTTTGCATTTAACTAGTGATAGTGATATGTATTTTGTATTTTTTATTAATATAACCAGATTTTTCGTTTAAATAAAAAATATTTATTTATTTATAAAAATTTATTAAATGCAGAGTGAATATACAAATATAAATACAATTCTGAAAAAGTCTATGGACATGAGTGTTAATGTCCTAAAAGATGTCATAAATATTGGAGAGCTAAAAACATGTTTATGTAATGATTGTAGAAAGCTTACAGTTCTGCCTGTAGATATTACAAAAAACATTCTAAAGAATATTATATCATGCAATTTTATGTTCAGTATTTAAACAAATAACTAGCTAAAAAAATCTTGTTAAAAGAAGTCAAACAGTATCTATAAATTGAGAGTGTACTTAAAAAAAGCTCAAATATCTATAAAAAAATATAATATTACCAATTTGATCTTGCTGAGATATTAAATATTTATTATATTGTTGACAATTTAAGCCTGTATCAGATTTTCCAAGTGAGCATGGATGCTTCACTTTGTTCTGTAGGTCTAGTTTGTAGTCAATATAGTTGCTGTGTAAGAAAAATTTTAATCATCATTTGAACATGGCCAGAAAAAAAAATACACTGAACATGTACCTAAAATTTATCTATATATTTTTACTATCTTTTTTATCAATAAAAATTTTATAGAATATTATAGCTTCACTCTCTTTTACAAGAATAGGAAACTAATAGTGAGCTAAACAGATAACTAAATGTCCACAATGACAGAAAGCTAAATATTAACTAAACTGATAACTATGCTTCACTTTGCTCTGCATCTGTTTTGCACACTCCTAAAGGTGTGTGCTCACAGAAAAAAGAAAGCTAAATAGTAATCAAATTGGATATCAAACCTTCCAGGTGGGTCTAGTTTGTAGTTGATTGGAATATCTTGCTGTATGTCAAAAAGCAAAATACATGTCACTTAAGTGAAAACTAAAAAGCAAAATGGTTATCACTTGAGTAAGGCCAAAAAAAAAATCAAAGGAAAAATACACCAAGTTATACCTTATCTAAAATATATCAAGATTGCTTTCAAATCATAAAAAATCTCATAAACATAAAAATACATTGAGCGTGTATCTAAAAATCTCACTATTATAATACTTACATCATTAATTTCTTATTCTACTGATCATATAAATAGACAAGAATTGATATCTTCTGATGATGATAAATTATTTAGAAGATAATAACTTAAGTACCAGGAACTAGAGTTATGTTTTTATATAATTATTTATTTTCTAATGGTTTATATAAAGAATCAATTGGAGTTATACTGAAATTTTTGTTCAAGAAAATATAATAGTTGTATTTCCATTAACACAAGGAATTTCTTGTATAAAAGTTAATAAAGAAACAGTTTATTTTAATTTATGGATCACCAGCACAACGTAAACAGTTTCCATTACAAAATTGACTGTGCATAAAACATAAGGATTGACATTACCTCAATGAATTCATATTTGTTACTGGTCAAGCATATGTTGCTTTAAGTCATTCACTGTCATGGGAATCATATCATTTGATTTATCTGCAATTAAAGTAGATGAACAAATGTTAATATACAAGTCTGAAAGATATCTTTAATAAAGGAATTTGTGAATATAGGCAAAGAATTAGTGAAATTCATGAATAATAATTTTAAATTTTGAGTTAATATCAAATAGTTTATTTATTATTTATATTAATTATAAAATAAAAATCATTTATTATAATTCAGTACTGTGATAAATTTAAAATATTCAAAATCAAGCTCAAATAACATATGTTATATAGAAATATTTAGTTCAGAATTCTATTTTTTCAAAAAAAAACCATAAAACAAGCTCCCCTCCTTGTTTGTTGATTTTTAAATAATAGATATCGGCTAAAAAGATTACTCCATATGGTATCGATAAAAATTGGCCAACTAAGTCGGCTTAGAACACTAATAAAAATGATTATCAGTTTCCTTATTTAGACGTTTTACCTAAACATATTGCCTATAATAAAAGATAAATCTAGAGGAAAAAGGGTCGTTGATCTTGACATTCTAACTAAAGATATGGAATTGTTAATGTTAAGAACTCATGCTATTGTACCAATATAAAAGTGTAAATTGGCAGACGTAAATATTAGACTATAGCCTATTGCTAAAAAAATAAACTAGACTTGGAAATTATTATGAATTGGATTTTTTTTTTCTTTTTCATTCAAATAATGGCTCGCAGTGAACTCATAACTTATAAATAAAGAAATACTATGCACGTAATTTTAGACGTATTTTCTCGTATTGATTATTATGCGTACAACTTAATTATTGAATACGTGTACCAATTTGAAATTTATAAAAACTCAAGAATTGAATTCAAAAATAGTCACATAATTCAATTAATTCTCAATTGCATGAAAAATGACTTCTAATAATAATGAAAAATCATCTCAGGGAAACAATACTGAAACAAAAGATTCTAATAATAAAGATAAACCGACTAATGCAGTTGGATTTTTTCAATTATTTCGTTATGCTACATTTCTTGATATATTGATGATGTTTGTGGGTTGCATATGTGCTGCCGCAAACGGAGCAGCACAGCCTTATCAAACAATAATTATTGGTGATGCTTTAGATGCTTTGCTTCGTTACGGGGTTTTATTATCAGCAAATGCAGTAACAGAAGATGCTAAAGATGAATTGAAAAGAGATATCCTAAAACAAACCATATATTTTCTTGCTATCGGAGGGGCAGTATCAATATTCGCCTACTTACAGATAACACTTTGGATGGTTACAGGAGAAAGACAAGTGATGGTATTTATAGCAGTAAATTTTTTTCAGATAAACAAATAAATAAATAAATCAAAACATTTAAATAATAAATATATATATATAGCGACTTCGTAGGTTATATTATAAATCAATCCTTCGTCAAGAAATTGCTTTCTTTGAATCGACATCAACAGGACAGATTACAAATCGTATATCCTCAGATGCAAGTTTATTCCAAGGTTTGTGTTTATAAAAAATCAATTTTACTCAAGATTATGAAAATTTACATTTTTTTTTTTATCGTTTAAAAGATGGTATTTCTGAAAAGGTTGGATTAATTGTTCAAAGCCTTGCATCATTTATTGGGGGATTTGTAATTGGATTCACAAAAGGTAAAGTTTGAACAAGATAACTTATTAATTTATATAATATGATATTAACTTTTCATGAATTTATGAATTTAGCATGGAAACTTACTCTTGTCATATGCAGGTAATTAATTAAGTTAATGATTATATAATTTAAAAAAAAATTATTTCTAATGAATCTTAATCCAAATGATAGTGCATTACCGTTATTAATTGTGTCCTCTGTTCTATATGGATACATTGTCGAAGCTTCAACTAAAAAGGGACAAGGTAAATACATAGTTTTAGATCAATTTTTACATAAACTACATAAATTAATTTTATTTTAATTTATAAAGAGGTTTACGCGGAAGCGGGCAATGTAGCTGAGCAGGTACTTTCTGGAATTCGAACAGTGATAGCCTTTGGAGGTACTTTTAAAATATTACCTTTTATTATTATTATCTTAAATATTTTTATTCCAGAAATTGATCAATTTTTTATTAAAATATAAGGTCAACAACGTGAAATTGCTCGTTATAACCAAAAATTAAAAGGTGCTTATACAGTTGGGAAAAAGAAGGCATTAACTACCGGTTTAAGTTTCGGCTTTATAAATTTTGCCTTTTTTGGGATTCTCGCGTTGGCATACTGGTACGGTAGTACTTTAGT